TAAAAGTCAAAAGCAATCATGCATAAGGATTGCATACAGATTACAGAGTACAGACGACACTCTTCTATAAGCAATAGCGATTGATATCTTACTTGAGATCATATTCTAGAAGAGCTAAACTGCCTCTCCTCAATTCATTTTTCTTTCAGTTTCACCATGTATTTCAGCATTTAGAGTTTTAACATGATAGATTATAAAAGTCGCATAGTTATCTTTACCAAGTTTCCTTAAACTATGCCATTTAAGCAATCCGTGATTAGAAGTACTCCACCAAACCTTTGAATTCAAATCGCATTTAGTCATTTAGATGAGATGGTTAATCCAAGAGAATGAGCTCAATGAACACAGCTGTAAATGAAGCCGACGAACATATCTAACGCTTAAGAGATTCCTAGAACTAAAGCCTGCAGATTGTCGAACCGGTAAGAACAGCAAGCACAGATCCAATATCGAATAGGAACTAAGATAACTACAGGTTGAAGCTTTCTGGTCAATAAACCAAACAAAACTATAAAAGAGTCAGAATTGAAAAGAAACGCCACCTAACTAATACTTACCAAAGGAGAAAGATGGAGATCGCGGCGAAATCAAAGCTCCGGTGAGGAGGAACGGCAAAAATAGGTGCTGAGAAGAGAGAACCGTACAACAAAGAAGAAGATCAAAGATGACAAGAGAACTCAATCATATATAGCACAATAAGCGGCCTAACCCCAAATAATAAAAAATTATTGTCTCTGTAAACTTAATTCTATAATCCGTTTCTAATCTACTGCGATTATAATCCGTATATAGTACTCCTTGATCTTATTTCTAGAATTAAATTTCTTCTTATTCAAGTAAACTTATTTCATCCCTTAAAAAAAGTAAACTTATTTCATCCTTGATCTCTTATTTAAAATATTTTACAAATTAAAATTAAACTTTGATGAATTATGACTGCATTTAGTGTCACATTAAACTATTTTGTAGTGAAATTGACATTAACATTTTGTACATGTCGATTTGAAGAAATTGTCCGTAAAAATATTTGAAGATTTTAAAATTGGAGTTGTATATTTTTTATTTTCAAAATAGTAGCAAATTTTAAAATGACAATAATGTACTCCTCACTTAAGGAAAACAAGCAAAATCCTATTTGAAAATGGTTAAACGTTTTTACTCGTGTCGAGAATTTTTGCTTTCATTTGAAATCACCTATTTAGTGTTAACATATTATGAAAGCAAATATTCAAAAGCCATTTTATGTTCTTTTAAAAGTTCACCTCAAGTCTTTAAAATGTGATAGAAGAAAATATTATTTAGTAATTATTAGTTATTATAGATATGTTCAAATTTACATCGTAATAACTGTAAGTTATTACTAGTACGATTTAAATTTTGAACACAATTATAGCCACTAATAGTTAGTAGTTACTATGTAATATTTTTGTCCATAACTTTTTTATTAGTAATATTTAAGGAAAAATCCATAACTCATAAATGTCTAAACAAAAATCAAAATCGAATACGTAGTATTAACCAAACAGCTCTCTACTCTGTAATGAATCTATTTTGGACCATCCTTGGTGTACACAAGATGTACACAAAATTTGTATATTACCTGTGTACACAGGCAATTTGACATTAAGTTCTGCCCTTTTTAAACGAATTGCTTGTGTACATAGGCAACTAGGAGGTTTTGTGTACATTTGTGTATAAGTCATGTACACGAATTTTCCATCTATTTTTCCTACCTTAAAATGGGTTCCTAAGTCTTAATAATTATATTAGAGAGTCTAGACTAGTGACGCCAGGTGAACAACATTCCAACAGACAAGCATGTTGATTAGTTATGTCATCGATTAACAATTAAATGAAGTATTAAACAAACAATGTTTGAATGATTGTAATTTATTTTTCTTAGATATTTACACATTGTAATTTTGTATGTCCAGAAAAACCCATAATAATGTTTCATTCTGGAAGAAAAAGTTGACATGCGAACTTCTTTTTGGGGTTATACACACACCAACTTCAATGGTAACTTTTGTCATCATTTTAATATTATTAATTAATCAAATGACTATGCAATGGAAACTTTAAAACCAAGCATGACAAAAGTTCATAACGATGACAATAATAGGAGGGGATCTTAAAAGTTAGCATTTTATTGAGCACACTCATGGACAAGCAAATGCAAGCAATCAAATGATACATATATACATTAACATGAAATAAATGAGAGGTCGGGATCGTCTTTGCTTCCCTCCCAAACAATTGTTCGAGGTGAAGTTTTTTTTAAACATAATAACAATGTAATGTACAGAGATAGCCCGAATGAGGGGTAGAATGAGGGGTAGAATGAGGGGCAGCAGAGGGCTATGGATCCACTGGTCCAACAACTGCATCATCACTTGAATCGTATTCGTTTTCACTGAGCTCCTCTTCATCACTCGACATCTCTTCAGCTGCATCTCCAACATCTTCTGGTTTGGCATACTTCTGACAGTACTCTGGATTATCACAGCACATGTATGTCAAACATAACTCATTAAGTGTGCCCATTGCCAACGCTCCCACACAATGTGGGGGTGTCTAGTTCAGAATCTTATTAAAGAGTGATGAATGAGTTTATAAAACCATGGTATGACTGTCTAGTCGATTGAATTCAATCTTTTAGTCTGGTTTCACTAAGAAATAAACTTCTATCCTAAAAAGGTCAACCATATATGAGAATGAGTTTGAATTCTTCTGTATATGCTATTTTTTATATAGCCGATGTTCACAAATTCATCAATGTCATCATCACCCTAGATACCTCATCCAGATATCAGATATCAACTATCTGGATGATACACCTCTCATAAGGGCACATGTCCTCAGAGCCAGAGACCTCATCCGAACTGTATCCTTTTCATAGAGTTTGTGTTAGAACTGTATCCTAACACAAACAGTTCACTTGTGTGAGTTTGTTTGGACTATATAACGGACTATGTTCTTTTCTGTGGAGTGTGGACATTGACCCCAAACATACATTTGACTCATTGCAGTTTTTTGTGGATGACCAACTACATTATGTGTTTATCCATGTTCATTGACCAAATCAAACCGTTCGTTTAGTTTCGTAAACCATCAAGGTATAACCCCAAATTGAATAATTATGAGTGTCTTAACCTAACTTAGGATACTCGTTAAACTTTTAGAATGAAATCTCTGTCTGGCCTTGAATCCTTGATATGGTATCCTCTTCAACTATTCTTCTTAGCGAGGACAATGATTGAAATGCACTTACGTAAGGCGTGCCTAGCAAGTGACGATCCCTAGAACTAGAAAATTGTCAGTACCTTTAACTTTAAGTTCATATGCAGGGTGGTCCCGCATCATTAGAGCAGCTGCCTCCCCATTCAATGGGTCAGATGCGTTAGGGTACAATAGAAGTTGGGGAAGAAACACTTCAAATATATTTACCAGATCTGCAGCACATAATTCCAAGCAAGGCATAATAACTCACCAGTATTTAAGCATTTATTTAGTTAACAGAGTTTCAAATAAAAGCATGTCAAAAATTATAGTTCTGGACTCGAACTCTCAATGATCAAGATGAGTGCAATCCTTCTCACCAAACATGGGGCTCCAAGTCTGATTGATAACATCTAAACAAACCGATCCCGACCTGAAAACCAACAATTTTTTATCATTTTCTGGAAAGAAAATAATTTGGTAAAATTACAGTAGAAAGTAAAAGCTACTTGTACTACGTATTAAGCATTTTGTCACCTACGTCTCATCGACATTTGGGTGGTACATTTTATTAACAAAGCCAATGGATGGAGACTTATAAGGATAAGCAGCTGGAAGTTCCACCCTTACTTTCCAAACACCACCTTCATAAGGACCTGTCACAGTTATTAGGAATATTAGTCAACTCAAGTGTCCGTTGTTGGCACCATGCTTATGCTTTATCATCCTTACTACCCAAGTTTTGACAAACACTAACTCATTTGATTACCTACATTGAATATGTGGATAATACAAAAAAGAAGCGGCAATATTTTTTTTTGGATATATGGCTCAAATGGATCAAAATGACACTTTTAAGCATACTTCCAGACTAAGAAACTGCTTTCTCCGTCCCTAAATACACGTTGTGTTTTCCTTTTTGATTTGTTTAAAAAAAAACTTCGTGTTTCCTGGAATAGGTGGTTCTTATCACTTGACTCATTTATACTCAAATATCCACCACATCTTTCCCTTTTCAAACCTGTTTCTTAATAAGCATGTCAAACTCAGAACTATATTTCTGGGCAGAGGGGTATGTTACAGTAATTATTTTTTTCAATTATTAAGCAACTTCAGCAAGTTTTCATTTTCAACCATAACTACAGTTTAAGCCAAATTCACTCTTACCAACGAAACTTAAAGTTCAATAACATCCCCCTCAGAATCGTTTGATTCCAGATTCACAACTAAGGCCAATCTTCACTAATTTCAATCACAGAAAGGAAGACACACGGAATAAGAAGATCAGGGAACCCATGTAAGAAAACATCATAAAGGTAAGAGATTTAATTTCTGATCGATGATTTTTTTAAAGGAAGATTGAGATAAGGATGAAGTTTGATTACTCTGAGTGGGTCCATGGAAATGAACAAAGAACTCGTGCATACTATCATTTATCATATCCACCTTGTAGTCACTCATCATCCTAATTCATGGAAAATAATGAAGCAAAACAGTTATAGAAGTTAATAAATAAACTTAAAAGAAAAAAGAAAAATTAAAGAGATAATAAGAGAAAATAACAGTTTCATCAAGTCCATCTCTCTGCGTTTGCTTGGGGAAGACATGATTCTTCTCCGGGTTTTCTGTTACTTTTGTAGAGAGAGAAAGGAAGGGTGGAGGAGAGAAGAAAAAGAGGGTTGCTTGTGCAAGCCTGAAGAGGAAATGAGAAGAAAATAGTTGAGGAATGAAGATGCCCAGATTGGAAGAAAGGAGACTGATTTGAGAAGAGACATTTACGATAAAGCCCCTTTAATTTAACTATTTGCAAATGTGGGAATGCTACTTCCAATTTTACAAAGATTTTTCTCCATGTCTTTCGGTAATTAAAAGAAGTCCTAACTAATTAATAAAAATTTGACCGTAAATATATCTTATTTTCTTTTATTAAAAAAATTTTAGAAATAGATTTTGAAAATTTGTAATGAAATGAATTGAACAAAATTTTTTTGAAAAAAAAAATTTCATAAAATAATAGTGTAAAATGTAGTCAAAGTAGAGCATATGAATATTGTAAAATTTAACATGTTGCGATTAAAAAAACAGAGGATAGTATCTATTATAATCTAAAAGTAAAATAAAAGAGGCCCAGCAATTCCCGCTCAAAAACGTCATTGTCATTGTTTGTGGTTAAATACTCATTTCTTGAGGCGTTGGTTAGGTTTATTAATGAAGGTTTCCCCATAGTTGGCCGGATTAGTTTTTCTGGCTTTTGGTTGGATTTGATTCAGATTTTCTAAAGATCTAAATGAATTTTGATTAGTCCAATAGTGGAGTATGAGCTGGCGAAGTGTACTGTGCAATCACTTTTGCACAGGATGTGTGGTTTTAGGCGGTTGAGTCACTGTTTGGATTTCTTACAGATTTTCTAATAGCTCAAAAATGTTTTTCATTGGTCAGTTTGGGGTAATGAGCTGGCAGAAATCTGTATTGGATTTCCCCTGGATTTCTCACGCACCTATTTACATTTTCATTGGCTGCTTTTTGGTTACAAACAGTGTCTTTTTTGTCACAAGGGGGAGGCTCTGGGCGGGCGCTAAAGAAGCAATTTTGAAATTCAAATTAAGATGTACAGTGTTCCCCCCGTTCCATTTGCAAAAAACTGAGCTTGAGTATGTGGTGAATGTTATTTTAGATGGCTGAAAGACTGGGACCTCCAGCTATAAATACAGCATCAATATTGTTTCAGTCTCCACATCTCTTGGCAAACAAGATAAGAAATACTTGCAGGCATTCATTCTTAAAGATGGTTGGAATGTGGTCCCTATTTCGTGAGATTGATCAGACTAAAACAACATGGGCAGTCAAGGCTAGGGCGATAAGGGTGTATCGTGAACCAGCACATGACTGTTTCCCAGAATCCTTGGAGGTTGTGTTTCATGACGAAGAGGTTTGGACGTCTAAAATTCTGTATAATGTTCCTATGCCTTACCATTTACGTAAAATCAATGTTGTCATTTTGGTAAATTTCAGGGGTATAGGATGCATGCTCATATTCCGGACCAGTTCGTCAACAAGTTCATTGGTATCTTCAAGGAGGGACGTTTGTTTGCAGTGAAAAACTTCATGGTGGAAGAGAACTACATGTTCTTTAAAACCTCAACAAGTGCCTATAGGCTTCGTTTTTTTAACAAGAGTGCTGCCTTTGAGATCAAGGGGGTTCCATTCCCCATAAGAACTTACTCACTGGTGTCTTTTGCTTCATTGCAAGCTCAAGACACCATAGATGAGAAATATGGAATAGGTAATTCCTAAATTATGATCTATGGTAATCCGTAATATATAAAACATCACGTGACTATGTAAGACACACTAATGTACTTCTTTGGTCTAGACATAATGGGTCAAGTAGTGCATGATAAAGACCCGAAAACGATTCTGAAGAATGATAGGACCCGAAAATTGATGGAGATGGTTTTGGGAGATCCAGAGTAAGTCTTTGATTTGTTCATAAACACTTTAATTGGTTTTTTGTGTGCCATTAAATTGAAATAAACTAAATGCTTTGAGTAGAGGGAATGTGATTGCATGTACTCTTTGGGGACCGATGGTTGAGATGCTCATGACATACAAGCAGACAACATCGGATCCGATTGTGATGCTGCTGCAGTGTTGCAGAGCAAAAAAATACCAAGGTTGTCTTAACATCTGTACCCCTTCTGCTTACTGTATGCTCTATAATCTAACACAAGATGTTATTTAGGTCATGTTCATGTGTCAAACATGTTCAACACCACCAAGGTCATTTTAAATGGAAGTGATGATGAATTTGTGGAGTTCAAGTCAAGGTAGAAACAATAATCTATAATCAAGACCAAAACAAAACACAGCTCTCTCTAACATTTGATAATAAAATATAAAATCAGGATGGCTGAGAGGTCCAGTAGTGGACTTGAGTTTTCAATAACAACTGACAACTCAGACGATGGAGACTTGGCAACTGGCCAGCAAGATTTGATCACTATTGATGCCCTATTAAAACTTGAGGAGGCAAGTGTATTGTAATTATAATTTGAAAGCTCTTATAGAGAAAATTTGACTCGACTTTTTGTTTGATAACAGGAAGGGAAACATTGGGTTTACGGAGAGATAGTGGCTATCGACAACTACAAAGATTGGTCCTACATTTCATGCATTAGTTGTAACCGGAAGGTTTCCACTAACGGGGAGAGCTTTTGGTGTGCCTCTTGCAATGCAAATGACGCTGTTCTTCGGTTTGTCATCTTACTCACAATTTTTTTAAGACGCATCCTAAGAATCGCTAAAGACGAGATCTTTAATGAAATCAGGTTTAAGGTGAATGTGAGGGTAGTTGATTCCACAACACATGCCTCCTTCTTGCTGTGGGATAGGGAGGTCTCATGCTTACTGGGAAAGTCGGCTGCCTCCCTTAAGGAACAAATAACTAGGGTATGTGTTGGTACTAAGTTCTATTTTTCTTAGTTTGTCTTACATGGTATACTAACCTATAATTATTTGCAGAGGAACTTTGGACCACATTACTTCCCCTCTGAGATAACCTCTCTCATTGATATAAAAGCTTTGTTTAAGGTGCATGTTAAAAGAGAAGGCAGGGGTTTCAAAGGAAATCAGACTTTCAACGTTATAAAAATGAACACCGATCCCAAGGTGCTGGCACTTTACTCATCACAGATTAATGCTGTGGAGGTATACATTTTAATTTGTTTCCCTGGGTATAAAGACTCTTTCCCCTGCATTTTTTACGGGCTATTCTTGCAGGAGGAAGATGAGTTCACTCGATTGGCTAAAGAGTTTTCAGGTCCTGGAAGTGGGGTAGGTATTCTAAATATTTATTTAGTTGTATCCTAGCGAGGTATCTCAAAAGTAACTCAAGGTTTTTTGAAATTTCAGGTTCAGTCATCACAGCAATCTGTGTCCAGCAGCCCGCTGCTAACCAAGGAGAAAAGGAGTGATTTGAAAGTGGACAATGAGAAACTGAAACGTGACCTGTTTGGAGACTCTTCTACTTCAACATCTGGAAAAAAGCTCAAGGGGGTGAAAAAGGAATAAAGATTATGCTTCGCTCTGTGTTATGTGTGACCATTATGTGTGACTATGTTATGTGTGGCTATGTTTGAAGATTATGTATGTACAATAAAGGCAACTTTGGCCACCTATTTTCTGCCCCTTCAGGGCCCTGTGTTGGCAAGTGTTGGCCTCTTTTAAATGGTTTTAGTCTAAGGACTCGGGCATAGGAAATTTCTAATCGTGTGTACTGCAGGCACATCTATATGATATATTGTATTAAGATATAACGAAGGGCTGTTATATGTTGGACTTCTATGGGAAATACTTATGGACTTATGGTTCTAGCCTCCTATGGGTGTTTGGAGGGTGAGATTAAAAATACTCAATGAAATTCATTTAGTGTTGGGGCGGATGAGGGAGTGATTCCAGAAATGAATATTACCACTGGACTCCAGTAATATACATTTGATTGGAAGACGTTATTTTTAGTGAATGTGTAATTCACTGAAGTATGATGTTGTTTGGTAAAGTTGAGAATTGTTGTGTAATTCTCTCTTTAACTTTAACAACTGCCTGTGGGAAGGTATATTGACTTTACATAATGGCAATTTTTTTTTAAACCTATGTGAAGGATCACACTAATGATTTTCTTGACAAAAATTTGGATATTTTTTTAATAGAACACCACAAATGAACAATAATTTCAATGTTATTTTATAGTTTGTAACACAAAGGGTGCATAATGAAAATGGTTTTAAGAGAATATTTGTTAGTGTCTCTCTTAAAGAGAAAAACAACATTTGTCACATAATATACCATATATCACCCCCCTGATTGGCTGGCATAACCATGGCAGTTAGTTATACCTAGGCAGTTAGTTATATCACCCCCCTGGGGGTGCCAATGATTGACACGCAATAAAACTCCACTACATACAATTCGTTTTACTGCAGCAGTTCTTATAATGGCTAGCTTTTTTAAAAACCTATGTGAGGAATAAGAGTATAAGACTAAGGATTTTATTGAAAATTGTGAGTCATTTTTTTGGTGTGTCAAGAATACTTTCTTTAGGCACAATTAACAGACATGTGTACCCCCTATTAGTCTTCTGGGGATACAATTTTAAGGGAGTGTTTGGAAAACTGTGTTTGTGGCGAGTGTGTAATGCAGCACATATAATGGCAATGTGATATAACAAGATTAATTGGGTGGGTGTGAGTGGAGTGGCGTACCTGTTATCTCTTTGGATGTCGATGTGTTTCCCTACATCTACCCTACATCTATTTATTAGATTTACAGACCCATGATAGGAACAGAAACAAGAAAGAACAAAAAAATAAAAACCCTTGACAGAAGGATTCCTCCAAGCCGCAGCCTCAGGATAGTTAGGCAGGTCCTTGCAAGTCCAGGTTTCCATCAGCACCAGAAATGAACAATAATTCCAATTTTATTTGTAAAATTGCTACACAATGGACAAGGAATGAAAATGAATTGAAGTGAAAATTAGTTAGTCAAAATGTGAAATGGAAGACAGTATTGATAACATAATATAGCATATACCAACCCCGATTTGAAGTGAATTTTAGTTAGTCTTATGTAGGTAATAATAATTTGATACTAAATTTTCGGGCGGGGATGCTTGAAGACATTAGTGCGGTGGTTAAATGTTGTCATGCATGTTTGTCAAAGAAATAAGTTTTTTCTACTAGAATAAAAGTGAAAGACATTTATGGAATCCGTGTGTCTACTTATTAGTTTTACCCCCCTCCCCCCCAGTGGCATGCTCCTAACAAACATGTGGTGGAATTGGGCTGGAACATGTTTTTATGACAGTTTACACCAGATTTTCCCATTTCGAACTTTGTACATAATTGGTACACATCAAATTTAAAATCATCCAAATCTTATTTTACTTGGTGGATTTTCACTTTCAGAAAGTGGGCTTAGCAATTATTGGTTCTACATTGGGTAAGTGGAATCAATTATTACTTTTCCCGGTTAGAAAAATATTTGGTTCTCACACTAGAATAAGATTGAGAAAAAAAATGTTGGACAGTAAAACTTATTGTACAATCAATGATGAGGTGTAAGTAAATCATTGGTTCTGCAAATAGTTAGTGGATTCAATAATGAGTTTTTAGTGTTTCTTGGCTGAATATTTGGTTGTCGCAAAGGCTAAGAGTGAAAAAAATTATGCGGTCTTTTGGGGACTGCTTATCTATTTTTACTCTAAGTGGGATGCTTTGGACAATAATATTTATGTATGTAGAAGCGCTTTTTTTAAGCTTTTTCTTTTCAATACAAAAAGGTCTCAAATGTTCTTTGTGTAAAGATGATTATACAATACTTCCTCCCTTATTCAATAGATGCAACCTCAACATTTCACACTTACATTTACTGTGTGTGATTTTGTATTAATATAGAGTTTAAAAAATTAGATTATTTAAATATTCAATTAGACAGGTTTAACAAGGATTTTTTATAGAAAAAACAATTGAGGAAATGAATAAAACGTAGTTAAAATATAGCATGTAAATCATATTAAAGTTAAAGTGTTGCATTTATTTATGAACGGAGGTGATATAAAATCAGTTCCTATCAGCCCCGGATTTGTTAGTTTATCAAAAGTGTGGTTAATTTTGATATCAGTCTGCAGGATATTTTAATCACTGTAGACAGCCAGATCTGTTCAGTTCGAAATGTGGACATAATTTGTCCACAACATTCAAGATCCAGTAAATCTGATTTTGCGTGGTGGGTTATTAGTTTAGGGATGTGGTGTAAGTAAATCATTGGTTCTATAGATAGTTAGTGGATTCCATAATGAATATTTACTGTTTCTTAGCTGCATATTTGGTTTTCACAGTATGGTGGAGTCACCTTGGTTATAAATACCTACGATGGTAAAAAAATCTCCTTAGGCAAAATAGTCTTCCTTGAGTCCTGGGTTTCTGGACTGTCTTCTTTATTGCTGCTTCCTCAATTTAGGGTGAAGTCCTGCATCCAGTGAGGAAAGTAAGGTTACAGCCCAAACTTAAAAAAAAAAAAATCAAAAATAATTTTAAATTCAGTTGCAAATAATATTTATTTCACAGTAATATCTCATTACATATATTAACCAAATTTTTATTGGGTTTGAAATAAATCTGTATATATTTGGAAGTCAATCTAGCTTAAAATAATGCTGGATTTAGTTCAAAAAGGGAAATTTGAATTGCTTTATTCTATCAGTGAGGGGTTAAATTGTGAGTATAATATATCTAAACATTTTTTGAGGATAATATTTCTAAACATTTCAGCCGAGTTGGAACTGAGGATTGTTTAACTCTTTCAGGTGTGTTTACTCACTCTGGTGCCATGATCAGAGATTGTTCAATTTGTGGTAAGATTCACCTTTGTTCCAACATGTACACTCTTGGTGGTTCATGTCAAATGTGCTGGTGTTTTGATTGTGATGCCTTTTATGGTCTTGAGTTTCTGCGTAGTGGTATCCCTTGGGATCAGTTGCCCCCGGAAGTTTTGTCGCGCTTCTACGGACGGCATGATCTCCGATGGTACATCGGAGATGATGGGGACAACTCTGGGCAGGCCACTGAGGAGAGCACCGGGGAGACCTTTGGGGAGTCTTCTGGGGAGCCCCCTGTGGTTAACTCCACTGTTGAGAGGGAAGAGAGGAAAGAGGTTGTTCTGAGGCGTTCTACACGCCCTATCCTGCTCAACCAATTCTATTTTGGAGGGGATTTTGTTGTTTGCTTTGATTACGGTTGGCTCAGTAGAGTTTAATAATGTTCTAATGTAACTTGGTATTGTGCACCTATGATGTATTTTGTCCAACTCAAAACAAAAGACACTACTGGGTAAATGTCTTTTTAGGTAAATCGTTTCTGCACTCTATGTACTCCTATGATGTAATGTAGTCTATTGTGTTCAATCGTTTGGTTTGAGTCTAATCGTAAATCTTTATCTTCTCATACTGACACCACTATTATTAGGTAAGTGATGCAGCGTTGAGGACTTAGGTTATGGTTAAGATAACTAAATCGTGTGTGTTGGGATCCAAAAGATCCAACCGAGGTAAATTCTGTGCAAGTTAAGGCTTTTTGTGATTGTGGTTATTATTTTAGTCTACTTAGAACTAGGGTATCATCAACTTTATTTTCAAATTTCGATGGTGTATGTGAACTTTGGTGATGTGTTCAATAAGAATATTTGTGTTTGATCTGTAGAAAATATAAGTGTGTAAGAATGAATTTCAAAGATAGGGTGTATGGTTAACATTTCGTATGGTTTTTTTGAAAAAATTTATACATCACAATTCATTTACAATTAGGATATTACCTTTCCTTTATATATGCTGGTCCTGTGCACTATCCTCGCGATCTTTGTCTTCTCCCAGTTAATTGATTTCCCCTCATTGAATTGCATGAATTTAGGAACAGTATTAATAAATAATTTGTGCTTCTTATATTTTATAGAAGCATATGAAATAATAAGAATTGTAAATTGTTACCTATACGATGTGACTTGAGTGTGGTGTATCATTCACCTAAAAAAAACAGATCAATTATTTGGTCAGTCATTTAGTTAGATGCTAATGAGAAAATAAAAACTTTTAATGAATAATCATAAATGATTTACATTGCTAGAAGAATACCTTTAATCTCCTTTGTATTGGTGATGCTTTCTCCATCCAAATTGACTTCGGCTATGGGGCAGTGGTGGATGTACTGTGTACAACTTTGTTAGCTAAGCCGGATTGAATGAGGGAATAACAAATAATATTAATAAGGGTTCAACTTCTGTGTTTGTACCTTTTTGGTGTTCGGATAGGAGGTGTAGAATAGGATTAATTGTTGTATAAACCGAGTGTTTCCATTTGGAATTTATGCATCTTTGTATTGGTAAGGATGGTGTTCCGGGTGGTGGGGGTTTGGTTTTGGTGAACGGCTGTGTTTGTAGTCATATAAGGTTGTGGGAGGGATCTGTATTTGTCACTTATACTGGTGGGTGGGAGTTTGGTTTGTAATTACTGCTGTTGGTTGGGAGTAAATATTTGTGTATCTTTTTAATAGAAAAGGTTGAATTCTTGACCGATGGATTTTTATTTCTACATTTAAGTGGGCTGGAAAGTGGTGGGCGGCTCGATGTGCTAAAGTTTGAAAGCGTGGATAGTGGTTGGGTGTTTCGAGAATAATAAATGACGTTGGGTGGGGGTGGTTGGACTTAAATTTTCTGGGTAGAGGTTTTTAATTTGAAATTCTAACGTGGGTGGGTCCATGTCAGAAAAAACGCAGAAGACTCCATTATTTTGTCTTCACGGTCTTACTGTTTCCAGATTCTTCTTTCAAAAAATATTTGTTTATATTAATTTTTTGATAAAAATTTTTTTACAGTAATTTGTAAAACCATCCTAGCATTTCCGGATACTTCCAATGACATGATTCTAAAAAATATTCTAAGAAATCGTTTAGCTTGATTATTTTTATTTTGACAAATTAACTATGTTCTTTTAATAAACAAATTAACTATGTTGTTACCGACATAGGTGAGTATATACATTTTAAAATAAAAGTTAAGAGTGTGTTTCGTATTATTAATAATAACTTTAAATTTATAAAATTTAATCACAGATAATCGTGATACACAAATGGCGGTTAACTGATAGAATTGATTTAAGAATGAAATATGTAAATTAGATCTCTCTGTTTGGTTAAAATTGTTTGCTTAATGTTTTCTAAAATTAATGGGTGTATTCTGGGTTATTTTTTAGACTGTGGAAAAAAAATACAGAGACGTTCGGATTTTGATGATCTCTGTTTTTCTTTGTTGGTAGTTTTTGGGCAATATATTTTCCATATTTTTATTTTTCAGGATACAATTTCGTGAACAGAAAAAATTTCCGACTTCGATTATTGTAGATCTCCGTTGGGTAATAAACTAAATCGGAACTGAATTTTTTTCCATTTTTTGGGGTAAAGATTTATGATAAATTTGTAGAGTATTTTTGAAAAAAAATCCCCAGATTTTTAATAGATTCGTGATGTCTTGGTGCATGCAGAAGGTGTGGGTTAGTTTTTGTGGTTTTGTGAGTTTTAGAGTTGGTGAGTTTACCTGTGAATCATTTGACGAACGGCGTTGTTCCCTCTCTGTCGGTGAAAGCTCCGGGCTTCCGGCGTTCACGCGGCGTTGCTCTGGATCTTTTCCTGACCTTGACTTTGCGATGGATTTGTGTGTTCGCTTCTGTGTCTTTCAGATTGTGGTTTGTGGTTTGGATTTATGCTCGGCAGTATGCTATGGTGTTTTTTCTCAACCGGTCGGAGTTATTTTGGTCAACTGAACGCGGATCTGCGATTCGCCGGTGAGGGAGTTTTCCGATATGTGTAGTTCGTTAGACAGAGGGGGGAGGGTTACACGAACTGAGAGTGTCGGCGTAATTTTAGGGTGAAGTGGGAGGTTAGTGGGTGATGATGAGAGGAATAAAAACCTTGGGTTATCGGGCTGTGTTTGGGCTGAACTTATGTCCAGTACATGATCCAGCGCCTGAAATGTTTTGGGCTCATTGTTTGG